CTTATGGTTTTATAAATAGGAATTGCCCTGTACAAGCTTTCTCTTGCCTGCCACTGTAAAAAATGTCCCTTTGCTTTTCCTTCGTCTGTTGCAATGATTGTGAGGCCTCCCCAGCCACGTGGAACCATGAGTCCATTAAACCTCTTTCCTTTACAAATTACTCAGTCTCAGGTATGTCTTTATTAGCAGTGTGAGAACAGGCTAATACATGTGGATTAACCATTAATTTCCAAAATGTGTTTTTGCCTTTCCCAACTTTAAAAAAGCTCTCCCTTAATTTCATGTCTTTAACCAGCTACCATCTCATTCCCTTCTTTCCTTTTATGACAAAATATCTGAAAGAAAAATTTACTTTCTTATTCCAAGTCTCTCATCAACCCATTCCTACAGGATGTCAACTCACTGCTACTTCACTGAAATTTCTCTCGGCAGGGTTATTGGCAGTTCCTACATTACTAAATGCAATATTCAGATGTCTGTTTTCTTGTTCTTGGCCTCTCAATAGTACTGTATGCAGCTGACCACCTAGAGCATACGAAACACTTTCTTAACCCTGTTTTTCATGACACCACCCTCTCCTCAATTCTATTCTCCCTCACAGGTCACTCCTTCCCAGTTTCCTTTTCTGAATGTCTGTCAGATGCAGTGTTTTGAGCTCAGTCCTGGACCACCTTTTCTTCCCTACATACACTCTCTCCAAAAGACCCTTATGTAGTCTTGGGTTTGAAAAAGTAGATATGGATGTTTGTGTCTCCCAAATTCATGCTCCAGCCTTGGCTTAACTCTGGTCTTTTATAAACTGCTGTCTACTTGATATCTCTGTTAGGATGTCTAGCCTAGGTTTTATCTAAATCTAAAATATATACAGTAGCAGTCTTGATTTCTTGACACAAGCTTGTTTCTTATTTTAGTGGTAGCTGTACCATTTCTTTGTTACTCAAGCCAAAGTCCTAATGAGATATCTTTGATTCCTCTTTTCCCTCATTCACCAAACTCAATCCATGAGTGATTCCCTTTGAGTTACCTCCAAATTATATCCACCTACTTCTCGCTATCCTCACTACACTTATGCTAATCCTTCATCCCTCTGGGAACCTCCACCCCAGTCAGCTTGACAGGAGTGATAAGTGCAGAGATTAGGGTGGAAACATTTTGGATAAGGCCTTACAGGTTACAGTAAGAAGTTTGGTCTTATTCTCAATTTGATGGGAAATGACTAGAAGATTTTAAGTAGGAAATGACATGATGTATATTTTTTGAAGATCTCTGTAAATGCCGTGTGGGAAATGAGGGATCCGTTGGAGTTGGGAAGGATTGTAGCAAAGGAGTGAGTGGACTGCTTCTGGGTATTGTATATAGGCTCATGCTTTACTGTGTCAGCACCTTGACGGGGTCTGAAGTAAACGATTATGCCTTTTGTTAAAGAGATTAATTCTCATGCAAGATTAAAGTGAATACAGTGTCTCATAGTTATCTCTTACATGACATTAAGGAAAGATGACCAAGAAATGGAGTTTTTGTTGACATTAAATTTAGTGTTGAATTTTGTTAACATTAAATCTAGTGATTTGGGGTGGCTTGGTGATGGCGTTCTCCTGACTTCAAAATTATTAGCTGAGTATAAGTCAGAGAAGGGACAGTCTTTTTTCCTTAAGGATACTTGAGACCTCTGTTCCATTTATCCATGGAATTCATATGTTGAACACTCAAGATTCATGAGGTATGATTATAAATCACCTTTGTTTTTATTCCACACGCTCAGTTTTTAAGAATGGTCAGGGAAGTACTTCTCTTGGCTTTGAATGAAAACTTTGATTGTTGCATGGATTTTCTGTTGTTTCTGGGTGATAAACAATTTTAGGATCTCTTTAAATTAGAAACATACTGTGGATTCAGTTATGAAAGGAGTCTAATCTTATGTAGCAATTAAAACCATGTATTTGATGTAAAGTTCAATCTTCC